ACCAGTGGAGGTAATGGAAAACAAAGGGCCTACAACTGCGACACACATAACCTGAAAACGTTAGCAGATAACTAGCTGTAATTATTATCACTGTGGCTTTTGTTTTAGGCGTGTGTATCATTATATTATTTATGTTGTGATATTACAGTTAGCCTGTCGTACTTATTGTAATACGTTACCTGTAGCTACATTGTTTTTAGTGGGAAATTGAAATAGCCAATATTTGCCCATTGTTGTGGTTTCCCTCAGTTCTCTGTCTGTCCTTACAGCCGAGGTAATGAGATGCAATTGATCGCGGATTGTCAAGACAGCTAATCCCCCACTGACCTCTCCGGGCTGGAACACCTGAGGGAAACAACAGCAGCAGCACAGCTCTCTAAGGACCTGAACACATATTCTGGTTCTTCAGCTTGTTTCATGATGATGGAGCGGAGGTCCAACTCACCGCTGCCCTGTCTGGACCTGAACAACTTCGACTCGGCCGCAGCGGACAGGAGTCGGTATGTTTTGACGAGCCCCCGCTCTCTGGAGTCCTGCGCTCGGCTCGGCGTAAAACCGGTTCAACTCCTGATCAAATCGCTCAACGAGTTGATCGCTGAGCGGCGCGACGTGCCTTTCGAGGCGATGAGAGTTATGCACGATTCCTATGAAAAAGAGCGAACGAAGCTTTTGCAAATGTGCCGTCAGGAGCGGGAGAGGATTATCCAGGAGGACAAGCGGACACTGGACAGGTGGCCCGGCGGTCATAAAGCCTCAGGCTTGGAAGTGCTGCCTCACACCAAACTGAAGGAACCCTCAGCAGAGATACACACAACAGGGCCTGTTCCTTATGCAGATCTGTGCTCTAAAGGGAAATCTGTCAGTAGATCCACCTGTTCTGTTGCTGGTAAAAGAGACTCAGACCGGAGCACAGTCTGCAGCTTCAGTCTGGGCGACCTCAGACACTCCCCAGCTACTGAGATGCAACTACAGAAGCTCACCAAAGACATCAACAAGGAGATGTGTGTCACAGTGCCAGAGAGAGACCGCAAGATAGCAGCTCTCATGCTGGTGAAGCATCAGGAGAAGGAGGCCCGTCTGAAGCTCTGTCAGCACGAGGAACAGGAGCGACAGGAGGCCCGCAGGCTGGAGGAGGTCCAGCAGGCTGAAGCAGAAAAGAAGAGAAGGAGGAAGCTGAGGCAGAGCATGAAACACTGGCACGAAGAGCTGGAGGCCCGCAGGAGGCTGAGGAGGTGTCAGGAGAAAGAGAAAATGGGGCTTCTTGAGCAGGAGGTGATGCTGCAAGAAGACCGCTGGAGGAGGCTGAAGGAGGAGGTGGAGGCGCATCGCAGAGGGAAGATAGAGGGTGCACAGAAAGAGGCAGAGGAGCGCAAACGCTATCAGGAGAAGCTGCTGCGAGAGAAAGAGGAGGTGGAGAGAAGGCAGCAGGACAGAGAGAGGCAGGTGGCAGAGGAGAGGGAGGAGAAGGCCCAGAGGAGCAAAGCGTTGAAGGAGAAGAGGGAGCGGAGAAGGCTGCAGGAGGAAAACCGTAGAGAGCAGCTAAGACACATCCTGCTGAAACAGAAGGTGGAGCAGCAGGTGGTGGAAGAGGAGGCACAGATGAGGAGCACACTTGAGAAGAAGCTGCAGCACTCCTGCCAGAAGCGAGCCCAGGTCGTGGGAGCACGGCTGAGGGAGCTGCAGGAGAGAGGAGCCCGGGAGGACGAGCAGATTCAAAAGGCGCAGCTGAGGGCCAAGCTGCAAAGCATCCAACAGCTCACACACAAACAGATCCTGGTCCAGCTGAGCCAGCGTCGTGTGGAGAGAGCCGCCCTGCGAGCCTCGGCTCAGCGCAGGAGCAGAGCTCAGCAGATGCAGCAGCGCAACAAACACAAGCAGATCTGCCACCTGAGGCTCAGGGAGAAGCTGCAGAGAGAGGAGGAGGCTCTGAGGAAGGTCAGAGAAAACTGCATCTCCGTGAAGGAGTGGAAGAGGGAGAGACTGCAAAGACAGCGAGAGCAGATACAGGAGGAGGCGCACAGGCTGGCTCGGGCCTCTTTTCACATGAGGGAGAGAGTGAGGCAGCAGACACACAGTCGGACCTTTGATCGGATGGCTCTGGAGGCTCAGCTGACTGCCTCCATAAGCCGCCTGAAACTATGAGAGAAATGATTAACTCCTATTCTGACCTTAGACAGACTCTGGATTTTGACAAACTCATCCAGAGTTTGCTTAGAGAAGGATCTACAGTCCCATGAGAGAATTCAGAGGGTTCTAAAAGCAGTACAGAAATCAAACCTTTGGTACTTTCTAAACATGTAGCATGTATGTGAATGTGTTATAACGGGGTGCTGCTTGATAAATGTTGGGGCCCAGAGCTGCACAGGCCCTGGAACGTGCCATGAGTTATTACCATGTCAGAGCTGTTTTTACTGGGCTCAAGTATTCTGTCATAATAGAGGATGTACAAATTGTAAACTGGGATTTTAGAAGGGCAATGACTCACATGGTGCAAATGTCCCTGAAATCATGTGCTATATTTTGCATTTTAAAAATTTACAATGGCATTTCAATTTATAAACATTTAGAATGAAAGTACTTAGTTCTGCCTGGCTGGCCGCCAGAATAATAAACACATCACCTTTTAGGGATTGTGATCCCATTAAATGTGTTGTCTTGTTGTATACCCTCGTGCCAGGTCACATGTCCACAAGGGATTTTTGCCTCTTGAGTATATCCTGTTATTCATGCAAGTCCTGACTCCAGAGCTATGAACAGTTGCTACATGGTGCAACCAAAACATTCTTATATAAACACATTTTTTCATGTATTGAACCAAAGTTTGTATTAAATTATCTCACAGCTCATAATGTAGAATTACACCCACATTCAACCAATGAGATATTATATGTTAGATGGAAGACGAACAGGCATTCAGGGGACAGAGTTGAGTTTTTAGCCTGCAGAAAGTTGCAGACAGCGAAGGGTTAAACTGTCGTCTGCAGCCATCAGGTGCTTGAAGGCCAATACCGCAACCATTAGCCGGCAGCAGGACGTGCAAATAAGAAGGGAGGTGATCATTTAGAGGTTGAAGATGAGTCAAACTTCAGCGCTATGGATGAGCTGTGAGAGCACAAGAGGCCAGACAAGTAGTTAATGATCAGCTAGCTACTGCGTTGTATTTTTTAGTCCTACTAGTGCCAGTCTCTTAAATCACCAGATGTCACCAAAGTTAAGCAAAATCTTTCGGCGCAAGATTAAAACAGAACCACTTTTCATTAAACTGCGCAGGATTACTTCCAGTGCACTCCCACCAGAAATGCTTAATTTAGCCATTAGTGGTGTGTATAGCATATTTTTAAAAATCCATTATATGTGTATATTTTGTGCATTTCCTAAAATGTCTGTTATTTTATTATAACTTTATTGCATTTGTAATGTTTTATTACAGCTTAACAAATAAATCATACTTTTGAAGTGTCTTAGTGTTGACATTTTCTTCCCATATGTGTATTTAACACTGGCCACATGCTTCTCCTTGACACACTGATGTTCAACTCTCCAGTGTAGCCAATAAAAGGCAGGTGCTACACGACAATATGGCCACTAAAAATGAATTAGCATCTGATAGTTTACCACCAGCAAGACATGAGGCAATCAAACAGGCCATTAAAACACAAGTATGTTTCTATTACATTTATTTCATCTTCTGCGTGTACTAAGAGGGAAGGTAATTTAGATGAAGAAAAGCTAGATGATCCTGGTTCTTAAAGTATCACTGGTAGAAACTCAGAAAGTACACACTTGATCACCAGATATGAGAAAAACCTTACGCCAGCTGCCTGCTTCCTTCTTTTACAGGGCCCATAAAAAGTATTCACACCCTTGGAAGTTGTCCCTTTTTATGCTTTTCGACATTGAATTATTGTCAATATGATTTGGCTTTTTTCCCCCGAATAATTTACAAAAAAAAGACCCTTTTATGTCAAAGAAAAAAGTAAAGTCACATATTAAAAATGTAAAATAAGTGATTCCACAAGTATTCACTCCCCCTCAAGTCCACATTGAGTAAATGCACGTTTGGCTGCAATTACAGCTTCTAGTCTTTGGTCTCAAACAGCCTTGTAAATTTGGACACTATAATTTTCCTCTATAAAAAAAATTCTCAAGCTCTGTCAGATTGCACCGGGGTCATGTGTGAACAGCTCAAAGTCCAGCCACAAACTCTCACTTGGATTGAGGTCTGGGCTCTGTCTCAGCCACTCAGCAAAATTCACCTTGTTGTCTTTGAACCATTTCTGTGTAGTTTTGGCTGTACAATTCAGGTCATTGTCTTGCTGCCAAACAAATCTTCAAAATTAGGGTTGTCTAGCAGATTCTATATGGTTTTCCTTCAGGATGTCCCTATACTTTACCGCATTCATTTTACCTTCTATTTTTACAAGTATTTCAGGGTCTGTTACTAAGAAGCATCCCAGCATCATGATGCTGCCACCACCGTGCTTCACAGTGTAGAAGGGTATTTTAGATTTTTAATTAACTGACATTACTTTGTATAAATCTGTTTTCACTTCGATATTAAAAAAAAAAATAAATCAATTTTGGTAAATTCTTGTTCAAAAGGCCTAATTCAATTGACCATGATTCAATGTTAAAAAGCAATAAACAAGGAAATCTTCCAAGGGGGATGAACACTTTATAGGCACAATAACAGATGTGGAGGCACTCCACCTACTACGTGTACTTGAAGATGTTACATTAAAAACCCACAACCCCTTTATCACTCATTCTGAAAAAAAAGAAAAAACAACTCTTAGCATCACAGCTATAAAAGTAATTCTACAGTCGCACAAAATTTTCACATCTTGGTAATTTGTGCTATTGCACATGAACAAGCTGAACATCTGGTGTGAATAACATCAAATTATTTGGTTGTTCCTGTAAATCTGCTCAGTTTCTGGGATTTTCCCCTCTAAACATGGCATGTCCTCAGGGTGCCTTGACAACAAATGACACTCTTTTTGTTTTCTTGGAGCTGAAATTCAGTACACCGAGAACTAGTACTGGAAACAAACAATACCACTGGACTCAAAAGGCAGGTTTCACTGAAATCAGAACACAATAAGGTGAAACTCTACCAAGGAACATTGTCTCCTAGTCATTGTGGTATACAGTACAGTGTATTATTAGACAGGCGCTCAGAGTTTTCCATTCAGACCTGGTTGCACTATGCCCTTTTGCACTAAACCTAATTGTCCCAATGTTCCCTTCTCAATCATCCTGCAGCCCAAGAGCCAGCACCATAGGAAGCCCCACACCCAGGATGAGAGTGAGGCTCTCCAGCAGCCCCAGGTGTCGCTGCTGGTGGGTCTCAGCTCCACTGTGCTGCTGCAGGTCAGAGGACGGTTGACCTCTGTGCTGCTGCAGGTCAGACGTCGGTTGACCTGTCCTGCTGCTGCTGACCTCAGGGAGAACGTGCACTGTGGCCACATAGAGGAACGTCCCAGCTGAGAAGAGCATTCCCACACCTGTTGTGCTGAGCTGATTCTGAGATGAGCTGCCAGACTGCGGACAGAACAAACATCAAGTCAAGCAATACAGCGCCATTAACTGTGCAATTACTGGAGTGTTATGCTTCTTCTTTCAGACAGACACAACATAGCTCAGGTTTGCTTTCTTACTGCATGTAATATGAAGTAAGTGGTGATAGCAAATATAGGTGCTGCTGCTGAAAAGGCCAGTAAATGTCCCTGAATGTACTTCTTCTCAAGGCCTGCATGCATCAGAAAGGAGACCAAACCGAATGCGGCAGGCGCCTACAAGACAAACAAGACATCATCATCATCAGCTCTATTGGTGATCTTCACAACTGTAGATTACAGAATTTTTTTCTTACCTTGTGTAGAATCACAGCAAAAAATACAATGACTTGCACTGTCACTTGATCTGTGGCCACAGCAGCACCCAGAGCAAATCCATCAGCTGTATGGAAACAGAAACTTCATGAATGGTCACGACAATCTATTTTTTGAATGGATGTTTGCATTAAAGTGAATGTTTTGGCAGTCTTCAACAGTACATTAACATTCTCCACTTCACCACAAGTTTGGAGAATGCCAGAAAGCTCCTGAAATATAAGAATAAATAAAATTTTGCAAGAAAGGAAATCCCCTTAAATTTGAAGTAACTACATGTGTCTCTATCTGTACATATAAATGACACAATGGGAACAAAACACCAATAACTGCTTCAGTTTTGATGGTGATATAAGGGTATCTAAGAAGTGTATATGGAAATTGGAAATTATGACCACAAGGCATAAAGGACCAATTAGAGAGGAGCTTAAACTGATGTATAGTTCTAGTGTGATTTTTGTCATGCTAAATTTCCCATGTGAGACAATAACTTTAAAGTTAAAGCCTCCAGACTATGCTACAGACTCACAAAAAAAGGAAGTCATTTGAAACATGAAAGACTCCACCACTGAAAGAATCACATGCCGAGTCACATGAAGGCAAGAACAACTGCAGTGTTATGTTGGGAATTTTCCATGCTTACGTCCAGGAATTCCTTAAAGTGTCTTATGTACCTCAAGCAAATACAGGTTGAAACTGTTGTACTGCATTTACATACCTGCAGCATGTATAACCAGCCCCAGCGTGGCAGTGATGTGGACACTGTTGGGCAAACGAGACCTTTGGTCTGAAATTACACAATGCGCATGTTGAGATGACTGACAAACACATGACATTCTGGAAAATGAAGCTGGTGTGAGAGTTCTGTTCACTTACCGTGCATGAAAAAGTAGCTTCCGATCTGATCCACAACAAACATGAAGGTGAAGCCCAAAGTTAAAGCCACCCCAATAAAGAACCGAGGTGGAAGGCCTCTCTCTGCAGATGTGCTTTTTTCACTGGCATTCAGACTGGACAGCTCATCAGAGTAGGAGGAGGAGGATGCTGTAGAGGGAAGATGAAGGACAGGAGCAGCTTTTGATCAAACCCACATAAAAGACAACAGCACACATTTGAACCACTGAGCCTTGCTTTCATCCCCACACACATTATCAATCAGCTGAAGAGGTTCCAATCAAACGCTTGTGCAAATTTGGTGGATGAGGATGGTGTGGAGTGCATGTGTTGTCAAGGCAACCAAAGTAAGAGGCCATGCAGACAAAAACAGGGTCATGATTCAGGTTCATTTTAATGACACTGGTTCATTTTTCATGATTTAGGTTCAATTTTTTATGATTCTGGTTCATTTTCATGTACCCATTTGAAGCTTCTCTCCCCTGCTTACCTCTCCATGACTCCTCCAGTAAGCCCACCCCCTCCGGGATGGTGATGGCAAGTGCTGTCCCACACAGCAGACCTGCACCCAGGATGGAGACAAACTGCAGGCTTTTCTGGGGATCGACACGTGATTTCAGCTGATGAATGGGATTCTCTTTCCCACACTGATTTATTTGTCAGATAACAAGCCAACAAGGCTGCCTGAGGCTCATTCATAAGAAGTCCTGAACTATTATCTGCCAACATCACTGTAATGATAAAGACAAACTGCAGCTGGAAATACTTTGGTATCATAATTCAGTCACTGCGGCAGCCAAGATCTTCTAAATCTGCCTGCCGACCTCATGAGGAGAGTTAGAAATAAAAATAATTAAAAACACTTACCTCAGAGAGTTTGAACAACAGTGGGATGAATCCAAGCAGAAAGGAACCTACAAACATCGCAACAGATATAAAAGTAACACTCAAGCCTCCGTCCATGGCGACGACTCTCTCCCTAACACATGTGGAGCTCCGGTTTGCTGAGATGCTTCCTTTCAGTGTCGGATCCGACTGAAAGTTGACCGTGTGCTCTCATTGTGTCGCTGGATTTCATTTGTTTCACACCACTCAGAGGACCTGAGAGCCGCTCTGCCTTTCCACGTCGCACCTCCGTCTCCCTCCTTCTTTTGCACCGCAGCAGCGGCAGCACTTCCCTCCCAAGCAGCACCCAGTGTCCGACACCGAGAACTGCACCCCTGGCCCTTCAGTCACCCACCTCCAGGCTTCAGAAAAACACAGCCTGCTGCAGTTCAAACACATGGATGGAATGTATTTTGTAAGTCAGTGGCTCCCAAACCAAACCCAAACGTGTCCAGGACCCCCAAATGACCCCCCAACACTTACAGTATAAAAACTATAAACAGAAAAGCTTGTTTCTTCTACTTTCTTCCAGGTAAAAAATAATCATTAATGTGTAATTTAAATCTTTTAGGCTATGAAAAGTAAAGATCAAGTCTCAACGAGAAATAAGGGGTTGCAAGTGAGGTTTGTGTCAAATTCCTGCCACCAGTAGGGGAGCAAGTATTCACATCCCTTTCTTAACTAAAAGTACTAAAACCACAGTGTAAAAAAATACTCTGGTCCTGCTTTGGTAATGTTAAGTAACTTACAACTTAAGTAAAAGCATAATCAGGAAAATATCCTTACTTTACAATTTACAAAAATATTCCTGATGACTGTTTCATTACAATTACTATATAGTAATAATATAGTAATATCAATTATATAAATATTACTATTTGATTATATTACATATAATCACTCAAACATGATTTTGAAGCAGGATGTTACTGTTGTCGCTGGTGGAGGTGGAGCTCATTTCACTTAGCTCTAAATGTCAAAATAGTTGCCGCTTTTATGTCACAACATATGATAAACTGGCTAATCAGCACAGCTGGAACTGCTTAAACATCTGGGTAGTTTAGTTTATAACAAAACACCACATATGTATTTTTAAATCCATTCTCTATATGTAATGTATATGTTGTATGTAAATTTGTAAAGTGACTGCGACAGTCAGACAAATGGAGTGAATTAAAAAGTGCAGGATTTCCCTCTGAGGTGTAGTGGAGTACACGTGGAAAGTGCCTTGAATAGACACAAGTAAAATGTAAAATTAGTATTTAAGTACAGTACTTAAGTAAGCATAAGTAGTTGGACTCCACAACTGCGTACCACACTATTTCTGAGCAGGTTTGGAGTATGAGGTGGTCAAAACAGAAAAGACTGCATGAACACCAAATATGGCACGTGGGCTTTTTATAGACACATTATCTCACAATGCACAAAATGGGAGCTCATAGCTGTGTGTGAAGTTTACTGGCAGTTGCAGCGTGACTGACATGCGACACGACAAACTGTTGTATAGGTTAAATATGTTATTTGTTTTCCATACCTCTGATATAGTACATAAAATAAAATCTATGTGGAATTATCACTAAGTGTGGTTTTGGAATGATGCTTAAGTTACAGGCCAAAAAGTGGTCACGGCTGCCACAATTACAGTATAATTGTAAGTGCTTAAATGCTGCATCACTAAAGCACAAGTGTAGAAGTGTTATAAACAGCAACATACAATAAAAATTACTACCATAAGCTGAAGGTCATGCCAGATTGAATACAGCTGCAGCCGCAAAACTTCTTAATAGTGTACATTTTATTGTTTTTTTAATGAAACTTTTGATGTGTGAGAGAAATAAATGTGTTCGTTCACTAATGATATATGATTGACTTAAAGGTGGTGTCAGCGATTTTGGTTCAGTACACATTTTGTGAAATTTCGTCAGATTCTGTCTGAACACAGCCCTGAAGGCTGTACACAAAGCAAATTTGACACAGCCAGGCTTTTTTTTTTAATTACTTGGCTTGATGAAACCTAAAAGCCCAGGTAATGGGTATCACCACGGTGGTTATCACCACGGTGGTTATCAAGTTTCTCTCTCAACTCAGGTTTGTTGCTTTATTTGAGTCTTGGACCGATGGCGTTTTGTCTGCATATGCTGGTAAGGTTCAAGGTTCAAGGTTACTTCATTAATGCTCATGGGTAGATTTGTTTTTCAGAAAATAAATAATACCATTTGGCAGTTCTTAAGAAAATACACATTGAACCTGACAGGCAGGTACTTGATCGAGTGACTAGAAAAAAAAATACAAGAGACAGAAAGTGCTCAGTTTTCTGTCATTCATCAATATAACAGCAAGGAAGTAAAAAGATAAAATAAATAAGATCAAGACAAAAAAAAATAAAAATCTTAGAGAAATAAAAGCAATCTATGGGATAAAAACCGTGATAAGAACATAAAGTTTTATTTAAAAGTCACGATGATAGATACAGAAATAAAACAAGTAGAACAAAATAAAATAAAATGCAAATGATTGATAACTGACTGAATGATTATTATTATTGTTGTATAAAATATATGTTATATTGATTTAAAAAAAAAAAAGTTTTTTAGCTTTTACAAGATTGAATTTCCCTTCTGGGATAAATAAAGTATTTTTCTTTTCATTTCATTTCAAATGTCACTACTTTTTTATTGAGCTCAGTGACAGCAACAGGAACAAAGCTGTTTTTATAAGGCTTTGTCCTGCACCTTGACACTAAAAACCTCTGTCCAGAGGGAAGAAGCTGAAATTCACCTCGTAGAGGATTGGCGTCATCAGTAAGGATTGATAAAGCCATCCTCTGTATTAATCATTATTGTGTAAAGTAATATGTCTATTGATTAGGACAAGCGTAAAAATGCATTTCTGCATTTTCTGCATCACTAAATGAACGCATATACGTGATGCACACAGTTTGTCAACTGTAACTGAACGGCGTTAGTGACACCGCATACATACAGGACAACAGGTTAGCAGATAGAATGTATTAAATAGGATAGGAAAAGGAAAAGGAAGCAACAGGTGCTAGTTATTAAACAGAAACCTTCACTGACAGCAAACTTGATCAAATACAGGTTTATTGTTGAAAGAGCTCAGGGGAAGTACTGATAATAACAGTATATATCTGTTATACAGACGGCCCTTTGGAAAGAATGATACAATGAGACGGTCAACTGCTGAGAACTGCTATTGTTACTTTCCTATCTAGAAAAATCTAAACCTAGAAAAGGCAAAGCACACAAAAACACATTCTAACTGTGCACAGTTTTGAGACGCAGAGACGCTTTACTACCCAGTCTCTATACATGGTAGAAACAAGCTGAAAACATCTATTAGAGCTTGGCAGTTTACAAAAACAATCCGTTTATTTCCAGTGAGTCTGGTTGTCTACATAGATCTTATGAAGATAATCTAAAATAAAAACAAAAATCATCACCGAGACTTGGAATTAGCAAAAGACTACTAGAAATCATTGCAACCAAGAGACTGACAAGTGTAGATCTATAATCAAATGAAATACCATGACATTGGACTGGACAACAGTATGTTTCGTTACAGTATAAAACTTTCAATTTTCCGGCTTCGCAAGTGAACCGTCACTTTGAAGCTGTTCAAATACAGCCGTCACACTTGTTACTTAGGCCACTTTTATCTTAAAAGTCGTGGAGTTAATCTACATTCAGAGCTTAAGAACTGAAGAAGCTGTTAGACAAGCTGAGATTTGAAAGGATCTCCCTCAGGGCTGGACAGTATGTTATCTTTACAGGACACATTCAGAGATTTCAAGACATCTCAGAGGTATAAAAATGAAGAGGTATAAAAAATAAAATCACCTTATCATGACTAGAAGAGCACCAGACTCAATGGTGTCAAACAATTCTCTGGTTTGTACCATAATGCTATACTCGTATGCGGTGCTAATATACCGATGGACAAAGTATGAAAACGGTTCAGGTTCACCATTGTTGTCATCACACCTGCGGCGGGCAGCCCTTCTCCGTCAATCATACAAGTGAAAGCAAGATTAGTGTACACTTCCCACATTGGTTCTCCAAGCAGCTGGGTAACTCATTTTCTTATTACGGTCCAACAGTAACGATTGGTCCATAGACAGACAGTAGTGGTACTTTGCCTTGCTTTACCAAAAATCCTTTTTTTTATGCTTAATGGGGCAGCTTATAGTGTCGTCCTGACTAAGGAAGAACAAAAAATGGTAAAAAAAAAAAACTGAGAAGCTAGATAGAGTAAATCCTGAGTAAGGTCAGAACTGTGTGCATTTCACATTATTATTCGTTACTTGGTGTTTGTATGGTTAGAGCAGATGTTCGTGTCAAAGAAAAAGCTGCTTCAAATGGCTGAGGCAGATCTGGAATATGGTAAACATTTAATCTGCACGTTTCATGATCAAGAGTGTGAGTTTCAGTACATGACTGCGGATGCCTTACAATGCTGGATCTGCATGTGGAATGTACAATTTTGGGGGTTAAACTTAATTACATCCAAACAACTCAAGAAGCAACAGAATTGATAGATTTTCCTTTCATGCTGAAGACGAGCATTGCGACAAATAGATCTAGACCTCATCCACTGAAGCTGCTTAACTCTCTTGCCCATGATATAATACGCTATCGCCAAAATTGCTCAATTTGAGTTAAAACAATCTACAACTCGCCGCGGAGGCAAATAGGAAACTGTAACAATTCTCGATGACCAGTGGAACAGTATGCTACCTACATGGTGACATGTCTACATAACATCGAAGAGGGCCTGACAGATGTCTGAGTGATAAGATAATAATTACGTGAATTCATAAAACTATCAGTAGCCACCTAAACTGAATGCTAATTTCAAAATCTCTACATACAGACGTAAACATATTAACAAAAAGATATAAATGAGGACAACAGATAAAGAACCAGTCACAATGAGTGTCATCTGAAACTGACCCAGGAAAACCAAAAAAGGCCTTTCTCTCCTTCCTCTGAGCAACACAAAAGGATCCACAGGCCCTCCGCCTCAGGTCCTCCTGCAGCAGCTGTGCAAGGATTTTCCCCTTGTGGGGGCAGCATCAGTAGCAGCAGTCCAACAGCAGTCCCAACAAAGGCTCAGAGACTGAATGCTAGTAAGATCATTATCAGTGTAGTGTGCCAAGATACGAATTACCATCTCCCACAGTCTAGGGGTTTATCAAGCTGGAGAGCATTTAAACTTCCATGCCTA